CCCACAATGACATGGTTACAGGCAGTAACACAGATACACATGGGTTCCTCCTTGGTGCTGAATCTATGTGACAGTCGTCCTGATACCAGCTCCATGATGTTGTGTTCTGTATCACAGACCCACAGTGTGTGTGTTGTTGGTGACAGACTTATGTTGTTGATGCCATTTTTGTGTTTAACCTCCTGTATTACTTTCCCCTTCCTGTCCAGGAGAGTTAATGTTTTACTGTAACCACTAGTCCACACCTGACCATCAGTGGTGGGGCATATAGAATAAATAACAACAGGAGACTTCCACTTCTCCAACACTTTGGTCTGTGGCAGTAGTTTGTACATAGTCACTGCCTTCTTTCCTTTTGGTTCTGTCTGTTGTGATGTAGAGGATGGTTTCTGACCACCAGATGCCCCGACTGACCCATCCTGGTCAGTTGAAGCTTGACCTTGACCTAAGGCATCAATTTTCCCTAAGGCCAGTTCTAGGTGATGTTGAGGGGTTTTGTTTGGAGTGAAACTGGCAGTACCCAGGACAGGTTTTACAGGGAGACTTATTGGGGAATGAATTTCACATCCTGTGTCGTAGATTTCTATGTGAGAACCATGCTGGAGTGCNTGCTGTCTGAGTTGCTTGTTATACATTTCAAGATCCTGTTTGTATTTCTGTATAAGCTTGGTATTATCCTCCTCCATTTTGTGGTAAAGAGAGAGTGTCTGTGCTGTCAGCAAGTCGAGGTCTTGTTTTAATTTGTCTGTTTGCTTTTTCAACTTATTTGAAAGATCCTCAAAATTGCTCTTGTTGTCTTTAAGAAGTGTATCAGTAGATGTGATGTATTCCCTAAGTTGTACCAGGTCATTTTGTTCAGTTCTGTCAATAAAGTTTTGAATGTCTTGTTTCTTTGTAGGAGTAATATCGCTGAGTTCACAAACATCATGGCCTTTGTGAGTAGATAAAAGACATTTTAGACAAACAAGTGTATCACATGTTTCACAGTATAGTTCCAGTGGTCTCCCCTTGTGTTCAGTACAGGTACGGAGAGGGATTTGACCTACGGGTGTTGCCATGTTGATGAAAAAGTTGTGGAAGAGACAAGGAAGTTTATAAATAGACCCAAACAACTTGTCTATTATATATAACTGATATTGAATAACAGTCACAAAATAGACTTTATTTTATGTCTCTAAATCTTGACTTTACAGCGAGCTCCAATCCAGGCACATGTGTTCATAAAACATAATTGTAAAGACACTAAATCATAGCTACCTGATGATCACTGATGTGGGTTACTAGGAAGAGAAATCCAGGTTTTCCATTCCAAGCCTCAGAATGTCAACGTCAAGTAAACACAGGTACATATTATAGGTGTCTATATCCCAAGTATTTGATTCCTTGTCCAGGTATACATATTGTGTAATAAATAACTTGTTTTCTGTCTCAGAACTACGTTAAGGAGACATTTCTGTTTCATGTCTGTTGATAATACGATTTCTCATTGTTAATACAAAGTCTAAACTGATACGCCTATCCAGCATCACAAAGTCCACACAGAATACACCTATCAAGCAATACAAAGTCCAAACTACCCAGCCATCATTTATAATCTACCTGTGTAGGTGTTTATCTATTTAGAAAACATTACTTCCCTGTTGTGGACATCCTGTTATATACAGTAAAACCTTACCTTACTGACACCCAACTTTAAGGACATCCTGTTATATACAGTAAAACCTTACCTTACTGACAACTGACTTTAAGGACATCCTGTTATATAGAGTAAAACCTTACTTTATTGACACCTGACTTTAAGGACATCCTGTTATATAGAGTAAAACCTTACCTTACTGACACTTGACTTTAAGGACATCCTGTACTATACTGTAAAACCTTATACCTTACTGACACCCGACTTTAAGGACATTCTGTTATATACAGTAAAACCTTACTTTATTGACACCTGACTTTAAGGACATCCTGTTATATACAGTAAAACCTTACCTTACTGACACCTGATTTAAGGACATCCTCTAATAAACAGTAAAGCCTTACTTTACTGAC